AAGTCACCGCTTTTCTTTTTGCCGGGGTGACCAGGAACACAGCTGTGGGTCAGGAGGATGCGGAGGGTGACAGCGAGAAGTTCGGGTGGAATATTTGCCAGCACTCCTTCCTGAGTTGCCCTTGGCTGTATTCTTCCCCGTTTTATGTTCGTGGCTAATTGAAAGTGAGAACTGCAAAACAGAGTTGCGCACGCACACACACACACACACACAAACCCTGAATGTGTGTTTCCCAGGATTGAAACTGGAAGCGTGGTGAAAGGTTGTGCTGATCCAGGCCACTGTGCAGACACTCAGCTACTTGCGCGTCCAGTCAGGTAAACTCAGATTTGAGCTCGTGTATACGAACTACTAAAAAGTATTTGAACAATGATAACGTGTTCAAAATCAAATGTTTGCTTAATAGTAAGTACTATATCCATCTTTTGGATATGTATCTCGTGTATACATACAATTGATCATTTGACGTGCGATTCATAAAGGAGCTAAAATGGAATGAGCAAATTATTCTTACAGTCTTTCGTGTAAGTTTACTGCTTGCTCATGCCAGTACGTTTCAATGAATTCTTTAAACCCAAAACCAGAAAAAGTCTGTGAGAAAGGCAATGATGTCCTTGATTTTTTAATCTTTAGACAGAAGAGGTAGTACGTATGGACTAAAGTTAGTACTAGAAAAACGGTTGTTTTAAGACTTCTACGGCTGGGATAAAAAAAGGTTTTGGGCAGGGATATCAGGTATAGTGTTTACACTCCTTTTTGTTTAGCTGTTAAACTGTTAAGTTTTAGCTGTTCACATGAAAATATTTTGAAGCCTCTCAGAAGTCCTGCAATAAAATCAAAAAGACCAAATTTTTCATTGCTTAAGTTGTGTAAATCAAGTGAGTATAAAATCATTAAAAAAACAAAGCACACCCCAAAGCTATCTTTGGGGGTTTTACATAAAGTGAAGTACATATACCTTTTTAGTTCTTCAACTGTGCGGATGCTAAATCTGAACTAACTCAGGTAAGTCAAAATAGGAATCGTTGTTTTATTCCATGTTTGTACATAGAACAGTATCGTATGCAATAGATTATTTTGTGTCTTAGCAAGAATTATTTGAACTGTCATCATGAACTGTCATCATGCTAGCTTCAAATCTTGGCATAATCTGTTGTTTAAAATATGACAAAGATCTGTGAAGACTTCATAGTAGAATTTATGTAATCCTTCTTACGTAATTATGTACATAATTTAGCCTGCTCTCGGTAGACCTATGAAATTATAAAGCAGATTTAGTCATGTTATGTGTGGTAGTCCTACAAAAATATTTATCCCAAAAGGGTTGATTATATTTGAGGCATTCAGTAGAACTTGATAGTAATGAAAACATCTAGCATATGTTGGGGCTTCATACAAACTTCCAGTAAAGAAACTAGATCCTATTTCTTGTGAAGATTAAAGAGCAAGAAGGAGAGAATAGACGTTTTTGCATTAGGATCTTTCCTGATATTATTTCATCAGATCTCAAAATGAGAGCCAGTATGGAATTTTTCTTCCTTTTTACTTTACTCACACTTTTGAATCTAAGCCATATACTGAATTTTCTAGCTTCTTGTTTGCGTTCTTGTCCCGTTGTCTGGGACAAGGGGAAGGATGTCCTGATATGCATTCACTCCTGAGGTGGTCTACAGGAACCTACATCTTGGAGGAATATGAAGTTCAGACCCTCACCAGGTAATGATGTAGATTGTCTGTTTTTAGTAATAAACAGAACTTGTCTGTACTGATAGTCTTAGTTCTCACAGATATCTTGGAAGATATTTAGCTTGGGAAGAGGATTTACAAGATGACAGTAAAGATTCTTCATAGGGCTCTGTGAAAAATGACACAGAAACAAAGCAGCATAAGCTGCAAAGCAAAGGGTTTAGGTACAGATAGTAAACAAATATAGGTGAACAAAATCTAGGTAAGCAAAATCTAGAAGAGAGATAAGAAACAGTTTTCAGATCAAAAAAGTGGGAATTGGAAAGGAAACAGAGTTCTTAAGCGGCCTGGATAGGTGAGATAATTCAGTATCAATATTTTCAACTCTCTGTAGTTTAATTAACTCCAAATGTAAATGTCCATATTTGTATTATACTGAGGCTTTGATCTCTTTCATCCTGCAGGAAGCTTTCATTGGTTTGACTGATAGTGAAAGAGATCTTTATGTAGACTTTCATTAATATATAATTAAACTGTATGCATACTTACATGGTCGTCTTCCACATGCTGAGATTTACCATGTTACAAAATTGTAACAGTTCGAAAATAGTTAGTTTTTGTGCATCACTGCCCTCTACTGGAGACAAGGTCAGAACCACGCGATTAAGTCTCACTAAGCCTTGGAACAACCAGTGGTGTTTCTCTTTTGTTGGTGAGTTACCTGGCTACGACCCAGGTTTACAAGTGTGAAGGTGTGGATGGCCAGCATGCACAAAAATATTTCTTTTTATTTTTCCATGTGAGTTCAGAAAATTGATTCAGTTTGCTGTCTTCAGTTTGTTCTCACAAAGCTAAGCTACTAAGCTACAGCTGAGATTTTCAGGTACATGTCTTCCATTAACTTCTGGGCAAGAGGCATCTAAATTCATCACAGAAACTGGAAATCTCCAGCAGTGCTACTTTGTTAGTATTCATCTTTAGCTTTATAGATAACCCCATCACCTTCCATATCCATATCTCAAACCTTCAGTTCATGCTCTATTGCATTGCAAAAAGATTTCCCTCCATCCCTGTTCCTACTCCTACCCATCATGCCTCTATACTTACCTTTCACTGTCTATATCTCTACTGTTCCAGTACCACATTTTTATCTTGTTTTATTTTCACTTTCCTCACTGTCTAGGCATTAGCTACTAGAACATGGAGAGCACACTGGTGATAGTCTTCCTGTTTCCCTGTGTCTCATTTTCTCCACCTACTGTCACAACAACTCATGCATGACAAGAGCGATTTCTGTTGGAACACACTTAATTTTTCCTGCTGGGAAGGCACACACATAGCCAAGGCACAATAAGAGTTGGGAAGAGTAAAGCATGCTCAATGTATACCATAAAGAAAAGTTCACTACCAGTCTTAAAATAAGTCTTCTCTATAGTAGAGTGTAGTGTTTTTTCTTCTGTTTGCTTTTAACTTAACAATGTTTGCTTGTAAGTTAACCATATTTGTTTTTAGCTTAGCCATATACAGAGCTGAAGAAAATCACATGCCTGCTGTTCTCATACCCTTCCAGTGTCAGCTCTTGCCAAGAAGTCATCCAGAGGTGGCTGTAAGAATATCTTCAATACGGGCAAAAAGAACAGCTTTAATGACTTCTACCTTGAATCTGATTAATGGTAGAACCATTTAACCTGAAATTATTTTTCTACTCTCCCTCTGCACACCTTGAAACAGACAGCTACCTAGAAAATTTTATTTAAAATGTTTTCACTTTCCTAATATTACATACGTCTTTTACCGGAAAGGGTCAGCATCTACCACACCCATAGCAGGGTTGTTTGTTGTATCTTATTGGGTTGCACTAAAAGTGGTGATGTCCTAGGTAGAAGAACTGTGGAGGTTGCCTCATTTCATGTTACCTAATTATTTTATATAAAAAACATTGCCACAGTTCCTTCCCCTAGCCTAATAAATAACATGAAAGAGTTCATAGGGCACGGAGTAGAACAGCTGTTCCCAAAGAGTGACCTACAAATGACAGAAGCCCTCCAAGGAAAAAGTCACTAGCTCATCTTGTAGGACCACACTGACTACCAAGTGGTTACAGTTAAAGATGGCCTGGTTAGCCACTGGACACTCATCCAAAAAATTTAAGGAAGAGTAGCAAAGAATAATCCAAATACAGTGCCAGTTGAGCACAGCTACCTAATGCAAAGAAAAAAAAGCTTCAAACTTAGCATTGCCTTACTATTGACAATATACATGTTCTTTTATGATTAAGAAGTAAAAGAAGTGCTATATTAAAAGGCTATCAAAGAAACATAGAATTCCACAAAACCTATGGCTACGATTTTTAATCTGTATCAGGAAATGAGGCAGAAGGTGTTTTTTGAGACTTCACAATAGGGTCTCTATTTTGGAAGATGGAGAGAAAGAGAAGACTTCAGAATGGAAAAAAATTAGAAAGAAGCAAATTTCTGTGACTGTCAACCATCAAGATATGTTTCGGTGGTATCAATAGCAACATTATTTTGAATAAGCATAAAGAAAGAGGACGAAAAATCAGTTCAAACCAATAAAGCCACAAAATTCCCGTAGTAGAATGAGAGTAGAATGAGATACTGAAATACAGTAAATCTTTGAGAGAATGGCAAAATGAAGAT